CCTGAGACGTGAGGCGATGGTTTACGAAATGGCAACCCGCTGCTCCGCCCTAAAATAGCGTTAAATTAACGGAGAAGACTGAATAATTTCCGCTGTTTGAAGAAAATCGGAAAACGGTCTATTTCAAAATGACTGAGTGACTAAAGGGAGGGTATTCTTTTATTAAATTTAAGTTAACATATTGTAATGATTTTTAACAAGGTATCAGGTAGGTCGATGCGAACTGCAACCGGAAGGTCCATGCATCAGACACAGCATGGCCGCATGTACCTCATCTTTTGGCACAGTCACACTAAACCACCATATTGTCCCTATCATTTGCAGATTTGCGCCATTCTATCCATTTTTTCGCTGGCTGCACTGAAGCACAGTGAGATGGAGTTTTTGTTCAAACGAATTCGTAGTTCTCCTTCTTCTAGAAGAAGAATTAGCTATCAATAAGAGAAAACGATTTATTGATTTAAATCATGAAGTTGAATATTTCTTGGTTTTAATCGGTACTGCTTCTAACAAACGACGATTTTTTGCAGAACTGGAAAAACAAACCAAATCTTATGACAATGCTTAATATGCGCACAAATATTATATCTTATACCTATCATTATGACGAGAAGATCAACATATGAACAACGCTGGTGTTCTCTGCTCAAGTTCAAATATCAATCAAATCTGATAGCTTTGTTTGGTCGATAAACACTACAAAAATGTTGGAAAGTCTTAAATTTTGGTTGTAGAAAATTCTTCATGTGCTTTAGCACCGAGCAGACAGATGTGACTTTCTTCAAGCTAACGTCTGTAGTCATCAAGTTACTTTTCTCGTTTTCTTATCATCGTCCGTGGTTCTAGTTCATTCACTGTCACCGACTGCCAGTTCGGCATTCAACTGACTGAATTAGCAATAAGTAGGACAACCAAACAAGTTATTATTTACAAAGCCAAAAGATTACTTCGGGATATAATTCAGCGAACATAGCAAAGGAGAAGTACCTGGCGAGAGGACAATAGTAGGCCATTGCTGAAATTCTTGGTATTGAGGACGAAACTTGTTTGAACGGTCCTCAATTTTTATCATCGGTTGCTTCAGATCCTTCAGCCAATGGGGCGAATGTTTAACCATTTTGCGTCGAAGCACGTCGTCGGCGGTAATGTGCTGCAAGCCTCTGACACGCTCCACGTGCCGAGAAAACTTTTCGAAACCAATAACTTCGATTCCTAGGTGGTCCGCTTCTTTAAGAACCGCAGGTAGCCGACGATACATTGGCTGAAAATCAATGTTATCAAAATGGGGCAGGGATGGAGTAGAGAAGGAAGAAAAAGAAGGACACAAAGTATCAATATTCAGTACCTTGCCAAAAGATAAGTTCATACTTCACAACTTTTTAAAACAGTAATATTTGCAAATCTCGTGGATAAGCTATGGTAAACCTGATCACTGCATTCC